AGATCGATAAGTTGCCGCCACCAAGCATCCGGCTCCGTCACATACTTCCACATCCATTTGAGGAGTAAGGCATAATTCATGCTCCAGATACCAATAATACCGAAACCACCATCCTCTCTTGTTAGTTTACACTTCTCCCATCTCAAAAGATGAAATTTCTTATTATCGCCAACTACGGACCATATGAAATCCCTTTGACATTGTTCCATTTTCGGAACCACAGACCTTGGCGCCTTCATAACAGAACACATAAAGATTGGCTGACTTGAGAGGGTACTACGAGCCATGGTAATTCTGCCCCCCAGTGAAAGGAAGCTCCCTCTCCACCCATCCAGTCGTGACTGCATCCTGACAATGATAGGTTCCCAAACAACCTTTGAATTGGGACTAGTACCCAGCGGAATTCCCAAATAAATCGTTGGAAGGTAGCTCCACGCGCATCCGAAGAGGTTCGTAAAATAGCTAGGCTGCTCAACGTTTCCAACCGGAAACATCTGACATTTATCAACATTGATTTTCAGCCCCGTCACAGACTGAAAGCACACAAGTGTTCCCAACAAATTAAGCACTTGTTCTTCACTGGCTTCGCAGAAAATTATGGTATCATCGGCATAAAGAAGGTGTGTCACCTCACCTCTCAACCCTACTTCATCCATCTTAAATCCCGATAAAAGTCCCGCATCTTTCAAGGTATCCAGCATAGTGGACAGAATATCCATCACAAGAGTAAATAAGAATGGGGATGTCGGATCACCTTGCCGAAGCCCCGGGTCCCGATAAAACAAACAAAGGTTGCCCACTTGCACTTGAACGAGTTTGAGTGACACTAATGAATAGTAACTTCAATCCTTGGCTTTTATATCTTAAAATTAATGTCGACAGTGTCTTGAGATGGTTGCGAATTGGTTGGCGAAGGCGATGATTTGGGCAAAATGGCATAGACAATGAACAATCGATGTAACTCAACGGACAACAGTTAAACATAGAGTATGCAAAATGAGAGAGTTGGGTAAAACGTAAAAGAAGACACTTGGGAGATATATGAGTAAATGGACATTAGATTGGAAAAACCTATTGGAGAAAAGTTAAAACAAATGGTATGAAATGGGAGAGTGGGGTAATATGAGGTTCTCCAAATTTGAGGGATTTAGGAGAAGGACATGTGAGTGGAGAAAACAAACAAACAAAGGTTGCCCACTTGCACTTGAAGGAGTTTAAGTGACACTAATGAATAGTAACTTCAATCATTGGATTTTATATCTTAAATTAAATAAATAAATTAACTAGCAAAAGCCCGCTCGCTATCGCTTCGCGTATCAGAAAAATAAATATTTTAGAGAGTAATAGTTTTAAACGTTGACTTAAAACTGAAACTAATCTTACTTGATTTTTAATCATTCTTTATAGTTTATAGGTTTGTTATTTACAATAGCATATGGTCGATGAACTTGCATGAGGTAGAAGGGTCGTCAAATAGATTATTTATGTTTAAACTTCTTTCATGACGCTATTGTTTCCATTTGTATGGCTAGTAGTTGATCCTGCTGTAACTTTTGCAGAATGAAGCTGCTTTTCTCTAGATCTTTTCAAGAAGTATTTTAAAAAATAAAAGTTGAGTGTTTAGGTGAAAAACTATAAGAATTACATTCTAATATAAAAGGTAATGTAAAATGACTAAAAAATATTTCTAAAATAAAATATGAATACAAATACTAAAAATTAAAAATGATTTAAAATGGATCACGTTAGATTTATTTCATATTAAATAATAATATTTTTCAAAAAAATTATAATGATATAAATGAAAGAATATTATGTTTTCTACAAAAAAGAATAATATATGGTGACAATTTTGTATTTTACAATCGGAGCTTCTACTTTTAAGTTACGAAAAACTTCAGCTTTTTAAAAAGCGATAATTTAGAGGTGTTGACTTGGTTTCTACTTTTGAAACATAGAACTTCTAAAATTCGGGCAAAACATAGTTGTACTCTTTTGGTTTTTTGTTTTGTTTTTTTTAGGTAATCGTGGTTCTCCTTTATGAAATTTTTCGACTGATTGTAGGTTTGTCCTTCTCGAACAAAAAGGAAAAAGAGCTAAAACTCGGTATCCACTCAAAACTCATGAACACCAGGTTCAACTCGCTTTGACCTGGTTAAACCGAGTTTTGGCCAAATTCACCCCTGACTCAACCCATCAATTAAAAAAACATATAAAATTCGCACCTGCCAAAAACCTATAAAAACGGGTTCAAGTCGCTTTGTTCGAGTCGAATTAGGTTGGATACTCATGAGTTGGACCCAAAAACGGGTTCAATTGTCATTCTCAATCAAAAGGAAAAAATATAAAAAAAAAAATACTAAAACGGATAAAACTCACTCACGACCCCAAACTCTCAACACTTCATTCAACTCGATTTGACCAGGTCGACCTAGTTTTAACAAATTCACAATTTACCCAACTTGTCAATTACAAAAGCAGATAAAACTCGCTCTCGATACGAAACGCATCAACAATGGGTCAGAGTTCAATTGTCATTCTCAACAAAAAGGAACATGACAAATAAAAAATATTAAAGCGTACAACTCGCTTTCGATCTAAAACTGTTCAACAACGTGTTCAACTGCCTTTGACCAATTTGTTAACAAATTAACACTTGGTCGAACTTGGCAACTACAAAAGCGGATAAAGCTCGCTCACAATACAACACTTGTCAATACCTTAGATTCGGGTTTTATTGTCTTCCCAACCAAAAGAAAAAAATGAGAAATTTATAAATACTAAAGCCTGTTTCAAGTCGCTTTGACCGAATCGAAATAGGTTGAACACCCATGAATTTGAGTTCAATTGTGGTCATGCTAAAAAAAGGAAAAAGTGAAAGAAGAAACCACTAAAGCATACGAAACTTGGTCCCGATACAAAACTCGCCAACATTGAGTAGATCTGGTATGGATTTTCGGTAGAGGCATTGGAAAACGGTGAAGGGGGACAACTTAGAATCTCGTTAACGGTGTTTTGAGAAGGTTGTGAATTGGTGAGCGATTTTGAGGATTGGACAGAGCATATCTAGTATGGATCTTTGTTCACAGCCATGACAAACGGTGGAAGAGGAGAACTCAGGATTTCACCGACAGTGTTGCGAAATGGTGCAAAAAGGCGATGATTTGGGTTTAAGTTACGATACCCATGTGTTTGGGTTCAATTGCGGTCTTTCTCAACAAAAAGAAAAAACACTAAATAGGATGAAACTCGGTCCCGATATAAAACCTGTGGTAGCGCACTTGGGAAACGATGGTGGGGAACAACTTGGATTCCACCGAAAGTATTTCGAGATGGCCTGCGAAATGGTGAGCGAAGGCGATGATTTGGGTTCAAGTTAGAATACCCATTTCACGATGTGTTTAGGATCAATTGTGATCATGCTCAATAAAAAGGAAAATAAAGAGAATGAAACTCAGTCCCCACACAAAACTCTTGATAGCGCCCTTGGGAAATGGTGGTGGGGAACAACTTAGTATTCCGCCGAAAATATTTTGAGATGCGCTGCGAAATGGTGGACAAAGGCGATGATTTGTGCAAAAAGTCATAGACGAAAACCTAGTGGATAGTTGCTACAATAGGGAGTTCATAAGCAATAATTGTTATGAGAAACACAATGGACAATAGATGTTACTCTAGTGAACAACTGCTAAACACAAAGTTTGTAGAATGTAGAGTAGGATAAAAGAAGAACTTAGAACTTCCCCACTTGCACTTGGTGGAGTGTGAGGGACACTAATGAATAGTAACTCAAATGTTAGGCTTTTATATATTAATTAATAATTAATTAATGTTAGGCTTTTATATATTCACCATTAATTAATAATTAATTTTGAGAATGTTTCTTTCTTGGCTCACGTGTTTATTCCCGAGGATTGGAAAACCGTATCTGAAGAAGTTGTACCCGGTAGCGTATTGTTAGGGGTTAATTGCATGATTGGAAACCCATGGGGCGTTGTTGCTTCTACTAATTTTTTGTTTATTTTTGCTGTTGCTTCTACTATTTATCAATGTTCCTAATCATCAAATTTTTTAGGGGTTAATTGCATGGTTGGTCACTGAGATTACCAAAAATGTTCAAGTTTGGTCACTCAAAATATTTAAATCCACTGGTGGTACTTCAATTTACTGAAACGTCCACGTTTGGTCACTCTGCATCCAACTCCGTTAACTTTGGCTGATGTGGCAATTAAGAAATAATAAATAAAATAAATTTAATCTATTTTAATGTCCAACTCATTTTTACAATAAAATAAATAAATAAAAATGAAAAAATATTATGATTATCAAATTAGGTGGGACGCCCGCGCGGCGGAGGCTGGGTTCCTCCTAAACCCTAAACTCATTGCGGAGGCAGGGCTCAACAATGGGGGAAACAGGACACGGTGGTGATGCCCGCGCGGTGGAGGCTGGGTTCCTCCTCAAGTTTAGCCAGCTGGGAGATGTTGTACTGAGAGTAAGTTAAATAGCTCTCGTTCCGATTATTATCCACATAAGAAAGGCTCATGAGCTTCAATTTCATCTCCTAAATGGAGCCGGAAACACGCCCAGAGAAAGATTCGCTCGCCTGGAAAGCTGTGTACATTTCCGGAGCTCGAGTGACCGGTTTGGCCACAGCTTGAGAAGGGGCCAATAGTTGGGTCTTCTCTGTTTCACCACTGTCCTTGGAGAAACTTGCTTGTACCAAATCCCTATGCAGTAATTTCATGATTTCCCAGGCTTGAAGAAACCGAAATTGAAGACTCCCCCTGTCGAGACGATAGTTTGGTCGCAGGAAAGTGAACGGATTGGAGTGATTTGATCCGCTCCATCGCACCGGAGAAGTTTGAGGCAGAGGGAACTTAGGATTAGAAGAGAAAGATGGTTTCCATTTATTTTATTTATTTTATGGTAAAAATGAGTTAGACATTAACGACAACTTTATTATTCTTCGAAACATATTTTATTTATAAAAATATTCGATGAGAGGAGCTCTCTCCTCTCTCCTCCTCCTGTGCTCGCTGCTAGGTCGGTGGATCGCAAGGGCCGCCGTCGCTTTCTTCGAGGCGAGCTGGAGGAATCAAAAAGTCGGTGTCGGCCTCTATAATCCGGACTGTTCCAAGTATAAGGAGATCTCAATGGCTAATAGCCTCCGCCTCCCCGCTGTCGGGGTTCCGTTACCGGCAAAAAACGCTCGGAGGGTGGAAAGGCACAGGCGGCAATGCTTGCAGAAACGTTTGAGGCCGTCGCCTTTTTCGGATATGGAAGACCAGGAGGAACGCCCAATCAAGAGACTGCGGCGCGAATTATCTGCCTTATGGCGTTTCTGGCTTCCTCATTCTTTCGAAATGGAGGAAGATGAACCTGGAAGAGCCCTGTTCGCGGGGGAGAAAACAGAGGATAGGATCGAGCTTCCTGAATCTCAGGGTGAAATAGATCGATCAATTCCCTTCGGGGAGGGGTGTTGCCCCGTGAAATTGAGATTGGAAAATGATGATCTCGATTAGTCAAGTCCCTTCGGGGAGGGGTTTTGCCCCGTGAAATTGAGAAGTGAAAATGCAATTGATTGCATCAATCCCTTGGGCGATGGCGATCCCTGCGTGGTATCGGGGGACAGGAGGGAGACGAGCCAAATCAATCCATCCCAAACCAGCGCCGGCGAAGCTCGGAGTGACGGCGGGTCTGCTGCGGCTGATCTCCAGAGCCGGCGGGTGTGGCCGAGCAGGATCTTACCGCTTCCAATTAGGATTAATCCGAAAATCCAGAGTCGGTTTTGCGAGATTCTCGGTCAGAAGATCCGCATCCGAAATTAGTTGGGTGCCCATTGCCAGAAGTCTCCGCATCTGGGAATTACGTCTTCCCTTAGGGAACTTAGGGCCCTGACCCTTTAAAACCCCCTGCTTCGGGCTCATCCCCCATTGTGCAAAGAGTAGCCTGGAGAATCTTCGCCTACGTTTTGGTTGGTGATTGATCCAGTTGTGCAGAGGTCGGCGGCGCTCCTTGAGTCAGGTAAAGGGACTCGTCCCATTCTTTCCTCTCATGACGAGTTTGCACAAGGGCCGACGCTAGCTGATTTTCGTTTGTGCAGTGAACCAGCGACAGTCTCCTGGGCTGAGACGCGACCGGCGGGGAAGCTCAATAAGCAGAGGGCGGTGATTGCTGTGTCAGGTACAGGGGTCCGCTCCATTCTCCTCTCTTCTGGCTAGGTTGCGTAGATCCCCTCAGCCCTGGAGAAACCTCGTGGTCGGCAGAGTTCCGCCGGAAAGCCGCCGCTGGTTTCCTTGGCTGGGTCGGTGGGTCCCGCGCACCCCAATTCTTTTGGGCAAATTACCCTTGCCTTCGGGCGTTTGCTTTGTGACCTAAAATCCCTTGGGATGCAATCGGTTTTTAAAGCTCCTTCTTTTGCTAATAATAAGACCTTGATTACCCCCCTTGATTTAATATCATCAACCCCTACGATTGAAACGACCTTGCCTAGAGCTTCTAACGATTTGTCTATCTGTGCTTGTCAGGTAAGCACGATGTCGCGAATTGCGGAAGATCAAGTGGTCGAGTTTTCACTTGAGGAGGTCCAATCTGTGCGGTTCCGTACTTCTAGGACCCTGCTGGGACGACCCTTTTCGGAGGCCACGTTCACTACTGCAGAGCTGAAGAGGGGCTTGTTGAAGCATGGAGAGTGAAAGGCAACCTTAGGGTTTCACTGACGCAATTTGGTTTATTTGAGGTGGTGCTTCCAAGCGATGAAACAAGGGTGTGGATCGTGAAAAGAACACCCTGGATATCAAAGACAAAATTTTCCATCTCCGGTCCTGGACGCCATCCATTTCCAGACGCACTTTTGATGAATTAGCCTGTGCGCCCTTTCGTGTTCAATTATGGAATGTGAAAGAGGACTGTTGCACTAAGCAATTCGGCCGGAAAATGGCAGCTGGGACTATCGGCCAGGTCTTGGAAGCAGATGTCTATGCGTCCAAAGAGACGGATGAGTGCTTTGTGAAAGTGCATGCCCTCATTGATTTTACAAAGCCTCTGCGATCCCAACTCATGGCGGTCAGCAAGAACTTGGAGAGTTCTGGGTAAATCTCAAGTATGAGTTCCTTCTGACCGTCTGCTTCCATTATGGGCGCGTGGGCCACTCCAGGCGTGATTGTGTGTTTGACCCCCCCTCCGGGGAAAGAGCGCTTTGGCCCGCATATGTCAACTAAGAAGCTTGGGCGGAAGAATTACATGGAGGAAGATAACTATCCTAAGTGTCGGGATACAAGCAAGTCTGTGTGGGTCAACAAGAATGTCCAAAGGCAGAATGATGGAATTGCTAGGACTACCAGGGATCGAGTGGAGGAGGGCCCGCGGAAGACTGTTGCGAGTACTCAGTCTCTAAGGGTGTGTAACATCCCATTTCGGCAAAATCCATATTTCGATCGCTAGAAAATTTCATGATTTAAAATCGAGCATTTCGACACTATTTTGACGAAAATTGGATTATCGATCGATCGGATAAGTATACATATACATATACATATACATATGTATATATATATCCCGTGTCCATTTAAATCTCATCGTCTTTCTCATTTCCACCGAGAGAAACAAAAAAAACAGAGCGACAACAGTCGCGCACAGGGGAGCTCGGGGAAAATTTCCGTAGCTCGATTCTTGAGCTACACTGATCAAAAAATCCCGTAAGTAATGCCTAATTCATCCATACATCGTGATTTATCGATTTAGAGATTTAAAACGAGTTTTTGGTTCAGGAATTTCTTGAATTCTCGATAAGCCAAATTAGGGTTTCGGAGTATCCGGAAGCCGGATTGAGCCCAAATTTCATATACGAGCTTCCTGCAGCGAGGTAATCAATCCTCTAGTTCTACTCCCTGAATTTCGGCAATTATTTAGGTCGTGGTCCTAATCGCTGAATTTAGCTCCGGCCAGGGTTTGATGTGTTTTTATCAAGAATTTGACCCGGAGCCCAGAACTAATATTGACGGGGATACTGCAGGGGATATTAGGACGGTCTCGGATTTTAATTCGGGGTTCGTTCGTGAAATTGACGTTTTAGTACGGGAAGGTTAAACCGGTGTTTGAACGACCAGAACTGGTGAGGGAATAGCACGGCATACCGGGTTTGTCGTATCACGATAATTATATTGATGCTTAGAATTGACCTAGGTGAACTAGAATGGCATGATTAGGGGTGTATGGACTTTTGTGCTATATGTTGAACCCTGGATTGTTGTATGATATTATTGACTTGCCCTAATCGATATGAACCTTGTTTATGCTGATGATTGTGTATATGTTGCAAATTGTGGGCTTGACTGTTAATATGCTTTACGATGGTTCGAGAAGGTGATTAGGTATGATTTTTCATGATTGTTGTATTTGGATGCACAAGTGGGAGAATATATATTCCCTGGTGATATTATGATGTTTAAGGAGGATGACTTGCACGAGGGTTTATCCCGAGGAAGTGCAATTATATGACTCCTGATTTACCTATGTTGAGCCAATTATGGCCAGGTCAAGTACTTGTGTAAGTAATGAATTATGGTTAAGCAAGATGAGATATGAATCATGTACAAGGATACCAAATATGAGTGTTGTGGTCTCACGGTCAACTACATAGTATTTAGGGCTCCCTATGCTATTACTCTATTATGATATGTATGATAGTCACACCTCTCATGTGATGGTGACTGAAGAATTCTCACGAGATATGACCACACCCAGAGTGGTGTCGGGGTATGACTACACCCATAGTGGTGTGGGGTATGTATGACCACATCCGATGGGATGTTGGGGTATGTATGACTACATCCGACGGGATGTGGGGTATGTTTCCCGGGAGAGTTATTAGCATGGGAGTAGCCAGGCGCCTATAAGTAAAACATGATAAGATGCATATGCATAAGTCAAGGTGGTTGAGTCTTTTGCCTATTGGGATGTCGGAGGGCTGAGCACTGATCCTAGTGCTTTGGCTTGATTGTTAGATGTATGGTAGGGGTATGCTGGTTATGAACTCACTATGCGATGATTATCTCACTCAGCTATGAGCTGACCCTCTTTTATTCTACTTCGCTGCTTATGCTATGTGTAAGCAGATATCATCAGCTGCAGTAGATAGGTGTATAGGTGGGAGTTGAGCAAGAGTTGAAGGCAAGATGAGGTATGGTCTTCAACTATTCTGTGCTTGGACTACTTTTCGGGATTTTGGCCAGTGATCTACACCTTTTTGTAAAAAATGTTTTCAGAACGTTTTTCATGTGCATACTAGCTTCTGATGTAGTATGAGATATCCACAGGTGTAGAAAGTTGATGATATGTTTATATTTTTGTTATTATGTAAGTTGTGACGATTATGGCTTGTATCAGCATAGTATGCAGTTGTGTAGTATGAAACTGTGACTTTGGCTATGAAAGCCAATGCTTATGGTTGTGAGTATATATGTTTGTGATGAATTATTTTCCAGGATAAGTTGCAAGAACTGTTAGCCCATTACGCGAGTAATTCATGTCGAAATTTTATTTAGGTAAATTTTGATAATTAATGTAACACCCGAGATTAATTCCGCTGCAATTGTATGAACAATATGATTAGGCAAAACGTATAGGGTAGGGTGTTACAGGGTGTCCCATGCTCGGCCTACAGAACCAGAAGGTCTCGGGAGCAAGAAGACTCAGTCGAGGCGGAGAGAACCAGCAAACCAGCTGGCCGGAGATCGGAATAGCCCAAAAGGGTTTAATTTCAAAAAAACCCCTCGAGTGAAGATTGGGGGAGGGATTAGGCAACCTCAGAGGAAGCGATCGCCTAAGACGAGTTCCCAGCAGGAAGTTAAGAACCGCCAACAACCAAATAGGCGCATGAAGCAGGATCCCCGTCCCCAGAAGGAGGCTGATCCTGTTGTGATGGTTCTCGAACAGTCCAGAAGACGTCGACTGATTTTGCAGGAGGAATCTGAAGAGGAGGAGATTGCGGAACTAGAGCCGAAAATGAAGAAGGATGCTCACAAAACTGTAGCCAAACCAAGGGGTTCGGTTCCTCGGGTTCACCCACGATTGAGAAAAGGAAGAGATAGGTGCCCTTTGCCTCTATCCGACCAGGTTGAGGTTGTTACTCCACCTGATGCTATACAGGAGCTGGAGGACAAGGAGTTTGGGGCTCCTCGTTTTCAACCCAGTCCGATGACTCACCAGCTGGGATCTGACTCGGATGAAGATCCATCGATGGAGGGAGCACATTCTTTTAAAATCAAGTGTCGATCACCCACTAAAGCCTCCATGAAAACTTCCCAAGTCTTGAAAGGGCGTGTTCACCAAGTGGTGGAGGCTTTCGAAGCAGGGCTTAGCATTGGACAAGTGGAATCCTTTCCCCAGAAGGGGGTGAGCTTGGGTCTAAATGAGTATGGGTCTAATCTAGTGGACCCAATCATGGAGAATCGCAAACGTGGGCTCGAGGAAGTGGAAGGGGACGTAGGAGATCCTCCTACTCCGAAAAAACAATTTGTGG